GGCAAAGTGAGTTCATGATTCTGCATATTTGAACCAATTTTTATCTCACTCTGAGAGCGTGAGCTGAGCCCCGGCGGCTGGGCCGGGCTGCCAGCAGGTGCTGAGCGCTCGTAGGGGATTCCCGTCGCACCAACGTTCCCTTTCGTGCCCCGTTTGGTGCAGAAATACACGCTGAAAAGTTCTGGGTCGGGATACCCAGTGCCTTAGTACACAGCGTGTAATTTATTAGCGAATTTGGCAAGTGGCTGTTGATGTTAATAGGAGTGATGGACTGAACAGATTGGGAAGCAGATAGGAAGCAGGGGAAGGTCTGTCTGCCAGATCCCGAGCTGCGTCAGAAACGCGGAGCTGCGCGCCATGAAGTAAGAGCAAGGTCCAGCTTGAACTTGCTGCTCTGGCACCTCCTGTGCTTCTTAGGCCACTGGCTAGTATATGTCCCATTTGGAGACTTTGTAGCAGCTATGTGAAGTCTTTCTCTCTAAACATGTCTGTTCATTGGATTTTTTTTCTGCGCATAAATGCATTCCCTGGCCATATTGAAGGATGTGCCTGCTACACTGTTTCATTAAACTGCTGCGTTATCGGGTAATTGTTTAAACATAATGCCATGGCACTATCAAAAGGAAAGGTGAACTAATGGCATTTGCAAATGTCAGGGATTATCTTAACACTTTTATTATAGTTTATAAAAAGTAGGTTCAGGGCATTCCATGGCAATTATTTCCACAGAAATTGGTTATTTAAATAAATTGCTAATTATCTGGATATGACAGTATTGAAAACCCTGCTAATGAGTTATTTGATAAGTATAGCTTATGATGGCCACCTACAGGTGGGAGAGAGAAAAAACATACAGAATAATTGCAATCGAAAGGAATGCCATGCAGATGAATAACATATAATTTCCTTAAACTATTTACAAATACAAATTATATATATGAAATACTTAGATCGCTGGCACTAGGAAGCAGTAAATTTCTTGGTGCGGAATTACATTTTCTTTATTTGCTTTTTTTTGCCCTAATTCCCCAACTTTCTTATCTAGTTACTCTCTGCAATATTGAATTGATCATCCGCAGTGCCTGAACTTTCACAGATCAATTCCCTGGCGTAATGTTTTTCCTCTCAAGTCTGATATTTGCTGTCATTGGTTTCTTTTGTCATTAGTTTTATTAATTTTAACAGTTGGGGAGATAACAATGTCAGCTGTCTTCTGAGAATGTATTTACAGAGACAGAGAGGGAGATGTTGCTTAGATTATTTTGTTCCCTTTTTTTTTTTTTTAACGGCAGGAGCATAAAGTTATTTATTAATCACAATAATGTCTATGCTTAATATCAGTTTATTTTTCTTTGTAATATGTAGGCTCTGTGGTAGAAATCTGACATTAATTTATAAAGAAGAACTGCAGTTTAATATAATGTAATGCATATGAAAAATAAATTTTCTTTTACATTGCTCAAAATGGTGAGAATTACGACCCAGTTTCAATTTTATGCCACCTACTAAGCATAGATACAAAAATTTGCATTTATATTAACCTTATGTATGAGAGTTTGCTTTTCTTGTAAATCCGTTTCTTTCACTGATACGGAGTTTGATAAAGACCATTCAGACAGTTTCAAGGTTCAGACTCTGTACTGGCAACTAAAATGATTTATCTGAGTTTTTCATTTGTTGTTTTTAATGCACCTGGATCATGTTTTCCTAAAGACTCATTGCTACTGTAGGTGTGTGTTAAAGATTCTTCATGCTGCCACACTGGTACACAGCATTGCAAGCAAGAATAGAGGCCAGAATTCAAGATTACTGAGAACAGTGATTTGGGGGGAGAGTAGGTCATTGTGATCAAGCTGATCTGAACTGTTTCTGCTCAGAACTAGCAATTCTGCTGGCTTTCTGGATGCTTAACACCAAGCATTCTCCTTGATAAAGGCTTTAAATCTGGCCCTCAAGTTTCAATTTAGTCAACATTTTTTGGCACTTGGCAGGACTGAGTCCTTCAGGGGACTCCAAGGGCTTCTGAAGTCTTAGGAAAATATATGTCTTCTGGCACTGGTAAAGGGTTCTCTGCTTCCAAAGGAAAATAAACAACCAAACCAATGCTTAACTAGACTGAGGTATTGCTGCTAGCAGGCTACCAGTCCAGCTCTGTCTGCGTGCATGGAGCAGGAAGAGGCAATCGATCGACAATTGCTATTGTTGCATTTCCTCAATGACCATCCATATTAGGCAGGAATAATCTGATTTACTTAAAAAAAAAATCAAGTAAACTTTTATGACAAGGAAAAAAAAAAAATCAGAGACTTTCTCATCATATAGTTATTAGGTATATTATTATTAGTTATTAGGTAAAGGTATTAATTATAAGGTAAAGATATTTGGTTTTGTAGCGAGACTTGAAAAGTAGTTTTCAAATGTCATCTCTGCCACTTTTTCTTTTGTCTGTCTTTTTCAAATCTTGTTGCCCTGCCTGAGGCCTGGGTAAATTGTTTATTAAATTTCATTATTTTACAGTGAGGTAAATGATAACTACCTGCAGTGTCTGCCAGCAGCTATAGTGCTGCTATCAAGAGTGCCCTATCAGCACTTTCCCGGCTATTGGTGCTGAACCAGTGGCCTTACAGGTCCCAACATGTCCAAGTGAATTGTGGCTGCTTATTTTTTAGCATGTCAGCTCTCTTTCAAATGTTTGCAAGATTTGGATCTCAACTTCTTACGTATCATTGGATTTATCAGACAACATTCAGCAAATCCGTGATAGTACTTACAGCTATTTCAAAATTTGGCATTAGATCTCAAACTTTATTTCAGCCCTTAACAAAACATTCCTTCTCTACCAGTTTCTTTAATGCTAAAGAAAAGTTGCTGGGAAGACCAGTGACATCCACATCATCAATGATCCTTTGACTGAAAACCCTTTGGTGGTCAAGCCATTTATTTGCTCTCACCAAAAGCTCACTCAAAATGATTTTATATTCATTTAGTTGAATTACTGATTAATGGAAGGCTTTTGCAACTGGATCATTTATCACTAGTTATCATACTGAAAAAAAAAAAAAAAAAAGAACAATTATATTCTGGGAATATTTTGTTGTGTAACTTATTACTACAAGATACCAGGTGAGGAGCCTGTAAGGCTTAGGAACTGATTGAATGCCACCTCTCGATATTACACGGGGGTTAAAAACTTGTAAACTTTTGTGCTTCAAGACAGAGAGTAGTTTTAAGTCATGCAGTTTGGGGAGAAATTTCCCTTTGGGCACGTGAGCTCAGATCTATGAATTTTTGTGCTCTTTCAACCTTTTTAAAATAAGCACCATGCTACCCCACAGCTCAGTGAGAATCTGGAGGTAAAAACAGTATAGGAAGGTTTAGGCTCACCTGAAGTATCAATGTCATGAACTGATGTTTTTCATTCAGATTATTTTCAGGAGTTTTGGTTGCATAACATATGTCTTGTTGTGCATGACCTCCAGAAAGGACTTTATAAATTCATAAGGGTAAGCAGTATGGGGTTTGTTTGTTTGTTTTTTGTATGAAGTCTTTGTCTAAGACTGGGCCATCAGTTCTGTTATATTTGCTCTTTGAACAACAGCAATCATCTTTATTCAGAGATTTGTTCTCTTCCTCTCAAACTCGTTACTATTGATCTAGCACAAATTATGGTAAATGTTCATTAGTGTCCAGTGGAAAGTTGCTCTCCAGCTTATTTTTGTAATCTGTTTTGCTCTGATCTTAGCTTCTTTAAGGCAGTGTTTTATGAGATTTCTAACTGTCATCAATTAGCTTCTTGTCCCCTTCCCCCCGCCGCCAAACACAGTGTTAGTTTGTGTTGGGTTAGGCTGCCCCTTTCTGCAAATGAAAGATTAATAGGCAGAAAACAACCTACCCTACGCCCCAAGTCGGCCGACGTGGATGGTGGAGAGAGGGAAGATGCTGAGCTCAGTCAGCCAGGGTTGTTTGGGATTCGTATCAGGATTTCATATCATGATATTTTCCCAAGTTACATAACACAACATAAAATGCCCTAATGTTTCCTAATGTAGTTAGCCAGTTCCTCTGGGAGTGATGAATCCCTCCGTTACAGTAGTATGTTGTTTTCCAGTGACTACATAAAATTATCCAGAAGTTCTCCAAATAAGATGGAATTTTTAACAATACAAAACTGCCTAAAGAAATGTCAACTAGCCTAAAAACTAAAAAGATGAATGTGCGCAGACATCAGGTATTGGGTGATATTTATTGTATCTGTATGTATATTTTAAATAGTTGCATACTACCAGTAGGCTGGAGCCAAAACAGGTATGGACCTAGTGTATTGAGATTTTAATGGTAATTCCTGTAAATGCATCAGGGAGTCGTCTAACTCAGCTTGTGTGTGCCACGTTGGAAATGTGAACTCCCATCTTGTAGATGCATCTGTAAAAGAGTATGTTTTTGGGATTTGTGGCTGTCATGCTAAGGATGGTGGCTACCTATGGGATTGCTGTAATCCATGAACACATCCAAAGTAGAAACATACCAAATGGTACATGAAATGTCATGTACAGGAGAAATAAGTCTTTTAAACAATGATTTAGTGAGACACAAAGAAACTTGGACATTGTACTTGGGCATTTATACTTGTGCAACGTGCATTTCAATAAAGCAAACTGGTTCTTGATGTAGAAATGGAGATCTTTTTATCTGCTGTGTGTGGTATGGGATAGTACTGCTTTCGGTTTCAAACATTGCTAGTCTTTGTTCTGAGCATCTGCTAAGAAATTCAAGCCACCTTTGCATTGTTCATCCAAATGTTTCTGCAATTTTATTGCACCCAAATTAATAATACAAGTATTGATACCACTTGAAACTCAGCACGTGTTGGTTTATAAATTAGTATCATCTCTGCCTGTCAGAATTAGACATTAGTCCCTAATGTTTCTTCCATGAGGGATGTGCATATTACATCGGAGGATATTCTGACATTCCTAACAAAATATTCTGACTTTATGTAGGAAATGCCATTCGTCCCATTGCCCTCCGTGCAGTGTCTGCTATAGCCCGGGCTCTTTCAGGATTTCCCATCTTAGCAACTGGAGGAATCGACTCTGCCGAAAGTGGGCTCCAGTTTCTGCACAGCGGCGCTTCTGTTTTACAGGTACTTTTTTTTTTTTTTTCTTTTTACACCCCCTTTAAAACATGTAAATTAAAATGTCTATAATTAAAGTCATAATGTATCTTAAAGACTTCCTTTCAGACACTGGCACAGTGGATTTAATGCACCATTGAAAAGTATTTTAGCTCTATGCTCCTTTCTAAGGGACATTCACTTCAGATGGAGTAGTAGGAGTTGCCAAAAGATCACTTTGGGTGTCACAAAACCAATCTGGGAAAAGACTAGCTGTGAGTGTGTAAGCACATTTTCCTCTAATCTGTAGGATTTAAATTTTAAGCATTTATTCTTCATCACACAAACAAGTTTAACACAGGGTTAAGTTTGAGATTCCCAACCTGTTTCCTTTATTCTCAGTTTTTGTCTTCTGCAAAGAGGCTGCCAAGGACGGGTGTTTTCAAGGAGCACTACCTTGATCCCACAGGGAATCAATTTAAAGAAGCTCTTCATGCAGGCATCCCGTGTCTCTTAAGTGTGTCTGCTATAACGGAAAGCACACAGCTCTAGATAAAGTGTTGACGTTGTAGCCTGTTCCTTTGGACTGAGGTGGTGGTTAGGATGCGGTGGTTGACACTGCCTGCCTTGCTTTATGGGCTATGCTGAGGCTCTCTTGGTTCAGGCTGGGATGGTTTGTTAGTCCTTGTTGTGAAAGGGAGCTTTGGTGATCTGTTGTTATGGGCAGTTGGTGAAAATCGCCCCTTACCTGTTCTAATTGAGATGTTTAGAGCATCGTTGTGAGCGTCGTATATGTTGGACTGGTTGATATAGAGCAGATGGTAGTTGCACTATATTTTTCCATTATATATAGTTCCATTCTGGCAGATATTAGTCCCCCTTTGTGTAATTCCCAGCATAGACAACTGCAGCTGTGGGTCTGGTGAATATTGGCTTTGTGTCACTCCACAGTGACGCAACTGGGATGATTTAATTTCCCCAGTCCACTTTGACATTAAAAATTGGGTTCACTGTGACCTTCATTACTGCACAGCTATGGTGACTGCTGAGATTAGTTCCCTGTTTACTCTGTTGCAAAAAAAAAAAAAAAAATCTAGGCAAATGTAACATTTTGGTAACGTAACTTCTTTTTTTTTTTTTTTTAAATGCACATGGATACATAGAAGATAGCATCCGTGAGGACTGAAGGAGAAGGCTCCTGCCTCTTTGTAGATTCACTATGGTCATTAACTTTATTAATATAATTGCCTTTTTTTTCCTAGTTTAGTTTCATTAGAATGCTTCAGACTTTCTCTTTCCCATTAATAGATCAAAGATCTGCCTTTCTTACATAATGGTCTGAAACTCTCTTTCGTGTAAATACTTAACAAAGATGTAAGTTACAGAACAACATTTGTCTACAAAAAAAAAAAAAAACAGAATTGGCAAAGGAACACTCATAGAACATAGTACACACATAATTTAATGAACCATCCCAATCAGTGTTCAAGAAAGAGTTTTGGATTTATGAAACATTTTTGATTTTTGTTTTCTTTTACTAATAAATAAGTTCTCTGGAAGTGGCTTCCAGAATTCACTTTCATCTATACTATTCTTGATGTGCATCTACGCTAGCCTTCTGCCCTTCAGGGAACATATAAAACTTGACTCTTTCCCAAAGATTTTTCTCAGGAATGATGAGAAACCTCTGTCCGGCACCTCCGGCTTTCCACCAGTTTAACTTAAATCAGCTCTCTAACTGATTTAAACTCTTCTGTTTCAAACCTATCCTCAGTATGCGTGGGCTATTTCTGTTTCACTAAAATAGAGAGGCCATTTATATTAATCTCAGATAAGTGGATTCTAAAACTGGTGTGCAGGCAAGTTCTGAAATAGTTTAATTACATTTATTTAAAAATAAACCTTTAATAAAGTCAGTGCAAGATTATGAATAAATAATTCCCTCATCTCAGGAAAGGCAAATGGAAGGGAGCGTAAACAGGTCATCTCTATGGACAGCCATATAAGGAATATGCTTAACAGAGACTGCTGTGAAACTTCTGTTTGCTGGTCAGACTGGGTAGGTGGTGATAGCTAGAACAAGACAACCTCATCTTCGTAGGTTACCTTTGGAGCCTAGTTATGATTATGAGAATTGAAGCTGTTTTCCTTCCTATCTAGGTCATGCAGACATCCACCTGTAACAATTTTCCCTGAATCTCAATTTCTCCTTGACCCTTGTGAGAGAGGTCTTCCACCTTGTACCAATGCCCCATTTCTTCCTCACTAGTCAAAACCTCTGTAGTTTCATGTATGCTTTCATTAGTCTTTTTCATTAGTCTTAAGTATTTATTTTGGACATACTTGGAGATGGTGCTGAATGGACATATGAATTGATCCAGTACTATCAATTTTATGGTCTTACATCATGTTTCCAAAACTGTGAAGCCTCCCTGTGAGAGATTTCTTGGGAGACAGCAGGAGTACAGCAAAGGTTTTGGACAGGTCTGTAGCTCTGCACTTCAGCTGCTCTGAGGAAGCAATAGTCTGCTCATCTGCTTGCAGCTGAAATGACCTCGAGGTTGTTACTGCCTCCATTATCACCACTCTGCTACGCAGAATATTACTCGGATGTTTTTGTTTTAGCAGTATTTTAACGGTGTGAGGAATGTCAGTTCGTCCAGCATTTAAACAACTTCTGTCTGATAATGCCAAGCAGCACAGATTGTATTGATCCATCCTTGAAGCCTAGTTAGAGCCTAGGAGAGCAACACTTGGGTGGTCATTAGTCTCCTCTTTGTTTTTCCTAGAAGGGAGTCCTGTGTCCTCCCTGCTGCAAGATGATGATGATGAGCTGAGAAAATCTGAAGGTTCTCTGTGCGTTGATTTAATTGCAGTGGGGCCTGTGTCTTGGAGAAGGAGGTTTATGAATAATAAATGTAGCGCCATTAAAAGCAGGATCAGGTTTTTCACTGCATCTATTTCACCACAATCACTTCTCCATTATTTTTTCCAATGGCTTTTATTTTTAAAATGTGGGGATTTATTTTCCATTGACAAAACCAACTTACACAGATATACACGTCTGGAGTCGCACAGTAAGCCATATTTTAATATATGCTGTAACAAAATCGAGTGATATTAAGCAAGCGTATTAGGGAATGGTCCATGCAAAGAGTTACAATATTCAATGTGTGTAGTAACTCAGTGTGTTTTATCCCGTCCTTTAGTGGATGGAAGGCAACATTTTTAACGTCTTTACTGACAAAATGATCATGCATAAAGAAGTCTTGCAGTGGGTGTAGATAACTAGCTGGTCAGTAGTATCTGAGAATAAAATTTACAACAGTTGAACAGAGTATTTTCCTCTTTCTGTACTTTTGAAGCATTTGCAAAAAAAAAAAAAAATGCTTTTTGCATTTAAAATGTAGGTACATTTCAGTCGTTCTTCAGCTGGTTTCCTAGCCCTGTACTTTTTTGTAATGCACCCAAATTCACCAATCCCTTTTCAGTACAAGAATAAAATTAAAAGAAAATAACAGTTTTATCTGTGGAGAGCGCAGTCCTGTACTCCTTGCATATCCAAAGCTCTAGAGATCTCCAGCTACATCTTTCTGAGGTACAGTTCATTACTCTGGGCTCCCAGTGAGTCTGAGTCTTTCTTTTAACTGAGTTTTTTTTATCCCCAATTTATCAAAATAAGAAGCATATTCAATTTTTTTTTTGCATCTTTTGCATCATATATGTGATTTACCATGTCACACTGATGGTTTGTTAAGTTTTTGCCAGGCTTTGAAGTAGACATATATTTTTCAAAGTCATTTCAGTGTAGGAAATTAAAAGTGGAGACAATTATAGAAAATTCCAATGGAAAGAGAAAATGCATTATGGAAAAAGCAATAAAAGTGCAAAAATATTAAAGTAAAAATCACTTCACAGTAGCCTGAATGATTCAATTGTAGATCAATATAGTGTAGTTAATGCATTAGCAGTAGAGCATTAATTTGCAATTACCGCAGGTGATCCGATCCTCTGTGTTCTGTCCATTGACATAAATGACCTTTTGTTGAAAGAGATTCTGCAGTCATTATTTTTAGCAGATGTAACAAAAAAAAAAAGGAAAACTAGAACAAAGAGGTACTCTCTGAAGTAGGCATTTTTCATGGTAGACTCTCTTAACTCTATATTCTGCCCTAGAATACTTTTGTTAATCCTTCATATGAGTCATTAATTGGAAAAGAATATGGGTTCTGCTCAGGAAGATTTGTATCCTTGCCCGATAACAGAGGCCACGCACGCGTCCCGCTCTTCCTGCCCGGCTGGGCTCCGTGAAGCTCTCTGTCTATGTAGCCACGTGGCTAGAACGGTGCCGCGGCGCCGCTTGGCGCTGGTTTGTCCCTGTCCAGCACCAGGTTTGCCCTCATTCTGGCAAGGGAGGAGGGCAGCGGGATGAGGCGAGTTGTTTTTGGCACCTCAAGGAACCAGTGTCTCTGGGAATTCCGGACAGTCGGGTTATGTTTTTTCTCCAGCAAGCTTTATGCTGATGCATTTTACTGAGGGGGTTTTTATAACAGCAGGATGGCCCTTTGTGTTTGAATAAACAAGTTTTTCCAGCGCAAAATAGTGGGAACTTGAACCATGAGAGGGCATTGTTATTGCATTTGTGCAAATGTAAAGCCCTGTGAGGAAGCTTTCTGTGTAGTATACCCTAGGTATCAGAAAATAAAAGCAAGGTTCTGAAAATATGATCACTGAAATGCTAGGAAAAACCACTACTATTTCGTAAACATTAGGTAACATCTCAGTGTTCAGATGTTATCATTTTCTCTGTCCTGATCTCAACAACAACATGAAGTAAATGTGCACTAGTTATTTAGTATACTTTTCCCCATTTAAATTATTTCTAATTTTCGTTAAGGTCACTGATGTAATTTCTCTATCTTTTTTATAGCTACAGAGCTGCAAGATAGAGAGCTGGTTCTCATTGCTATCAATTAGGGTTCCTTAAAGTCCATCTCAATGTCCTTTCAAGTCAATGAAGACACTGATAC